AGAGAGAGAGAGAGAGAGAGAGAGAGAGAGAGAGTGAAGGAGGGATGAAAGGGAGAGAGATTAAATGAAAAATAAATATCTCACTTTGGATCTCCTCCAATATGTTTCACTTTCGAAACCCATTATCATGTCAAAAAATAAAAAAAGAAGTTTTAATGGTGTAGGCATAAAAAAATGAAATAAATAAAAAAGTGACAGCAGAGCCTGGTGTCAGATCTTCCCATCACTAAAAATTTAATCAAAAGTTTCCCTTGAGAAAGTTTTACTAACCCAAAATCCACTGAAAATATATTAAACATTCACATCATTCTAATCTTTAAAGATGTAAAACCCTGAGTAAAGTGATACATGCAGAATAGACTTCCCTACACACATTCATGAAAAACTAATTTGTATATTACATGTTGTTGCTGACATAAATTCGAGCTGTCAGTAGTGAATCTGTTTCAGACGCAGTAAGAGGTTTCTGACCCGTACGGCCCGGCAGTGAGGAGAGTACTGCAGCGGCAGCTCAAAGAAGGAGAAAGTGAAGCTTCGGGAGAAGCTCTGGCTGCTGATGGGATGTAAGGGTGGCAAACGAGGAGGGCGAGGAAGCGTGTGTGGTGGCAACACCCTCCTCTTCATCCGCAGATCCCTGCTGACCCCACCTACTGAGAGAAATGACAGAAAGACCATCATGCATTGCTTCAATCAGCTCATATTCTGTTAACTTTCAGAATTTTAAAGCTATTTTTCAACTTCTTTCTGCTAATATCAGCTTTAGTGTGTTTATTTCGCTTATGCTCCCTTCATTTCCACTGTTTTTGGATTTTTCTGCCTTTTCAGCTACTCTTTAGCTGTTGTTGGATAAATTGCACTTTATTCAACTAAATTCCCATTTGCGGGCCTTTTCAGCTAATTACAGCTGTAACTAAGCTATTTTCAGCCAAATATGACTTTTTTTTGCTAAAATAACATTTATGTGATTTTTCAGCTTCTTTTGCTTAATTCAGTGATCACCCCAATTAATTTCAAGGTCACAAAACAAAAGGTGAAGGTCACAGATTAGTCATTTTTCTGATTGTATACTTTCATCTAATTTTAAGCCTTATATATATA